TTTAAGCGTCTAATTACTAACCCCGCTTTCTTTGGTCATGCGTTCGCAGAAAAGTAGACGAAAAAATCGTTCTATGAATCAAATTCATTGCAAAATAAAGGTTTGGGGGGGGCCTATGTGATTCAACAACTGTCAGTTCTTCATCTGACTTATCTTCAGTCATATGCTCTAATCAAAATGACCGTCTTGGATGGAGACGCAGTATTAAAGATGACATTTAGAACACTGCGTGGCATTCGCACTTATGTATTGTAAAGCGAAAATGAAAAGAAATAACGACTTGCCTTGACTACAAGGTGTAAGCTGCTACAAGTGACATCAACGCTGGGCACGTTGACGCGATTCTGGACTAATTAAGATAATCAGCTGATCAGTCATTTGCCACTGTCATTACTTACATTTTTTGGACAGCACACCGTCTTGCATATCCCTGCTTGATCCGCAAATAACTGCCTGGAAGGTGGTATGGTATCCCTCTTCGTCTGGCTAGGGTTGAGATTGCAAACATCTTGCAACGAAAGTGAAGAGAGTAGTTTCGCACATTCATTTGCGGCAGGGTCATGCAACACATTTTTACGTGATGGTTTGTACGCCATCATGTTAATGATATATTAATCCTGCGCTTATCTTGTGCTTCATATTCCTACGTTATTTTCAAGCAAGAAATAGATCGTGCACAAATTGTAGAGCAGTGCAAAATGTCTCCTACCCCATGGTGGACGGGTTACGCTCCTGGGTTGCTGCTCTGAGTACCAGCACAGTTATGCAGTTTCGAAAGTGTAATACTTCCTGAAAAACGCGACTAATCCTTAACTGAGATTATCATCTGAATTATTCCGTCGTTTTCTTTTGTCCATACGTTATGGTCTTTCTCTCAACTATGACGTATTTGACAAAGCTCCTTAGCTTGCCGCATGCTTTGGCATTTGTGGCGCATGATGGAAGGTTCGCTACTGATGGTATCCGTATTTGTAATGAGCTGAGGAGGAATTAGTCTGGCAATTTAAACATAGAGTTTTCATGAGCCAGGAGTCGCCTGATTTCACTTTTACGAATAGTAATGCAAAGTTCTTTTCCAACACCGGCGTGCGGTGCACGTATACCGTGTGGCTGTGGTGTAGCAGTAATGCGAATATTTTGACATGGTGAAACGGCACACAACAAGGACTTCTCTGTTCGATGTCTAAACAAAACAACAGCACACTACATGAAAACCCTCAGGCAAAGAAGTGCCCGGTACCCATGCGTTAGCTGCGTGGCACCTGGAGTCTCAATGAAACCGGGGGTGCTAACAAAACGTTGTGCAATCATAAAGCAGTCAGATGGTTTCGGAGTGGTCAGGGTTGAGACCCAATGGGTCCGGAGTCAGGCCGCCTGTCATCTAACCGCTGTAGATCGCCCCTGATATCGTCGAGGGATCTGGGGCAACTGAGGACAGCTCACAAGAGAATCAGTATTCATGGAGATAGTGGTCTAGGGATCATGGATAATACATGTGACCTGAAAAATGTGCAGAGCGACACAGACTCAGGGCTCAGCCTGCAATCACCTGCCTCTGGCCGGACCCCCATTCTGATCTCTGATCCGACTCTTCATCTGACCTCCGACCAAACCGCTTATCCTTATCCTTATCTGACCAAACCGCTATCAAATCCTCACCCATGAACCGATTTATGACATGACCTCCTGACTCCTGGCCGCTTAATCTGACCCCTGACCTCCTCTATCCGACCCCTGACCTAACGCTTAGCCACATCTGTGACCCCAACCTTACTCTGGTCGCTCGTTTGACTGTCAGCCTGACCTCTGACCTGTCTTTTAGCCAGACCTCCGACCCACCTTCAGTTTGGTCAGTCACCTGACTGTCAGTCTGCCCTCTGACCTTTCTCTTAGCCAGACCTCTGACACGACCTTCAGTCTGGTCACTCGCCTGACTGTCAGCCTGACCTCTGACCTGTCTCCCAGCATGCTCCCTGACCTGACCCTCAGACTGGCCACTGGCCCCAGCCCCAGTCTGGCCTATGACCTGACCTAACCAGCAGTCTGGGCTCTCAGCCTCAGTCCCGCCCCTGCCTCTCGGCCCTGCCTGGTCCCCGCCTGACCGCCGGGCGCCGCATCAGCCCGCGGTCTGCCGCGACCCGCTCGGCTGACGGTCGGCGCCGTCGGCGCGGCGCCCGTCGACACCGACGCGGCGGCCGCCGTCAGTGGACCGCCGGAGGGGAGCGGGGTGGGCACGGGCTGGCAGCGGCCCCGCTTGGCGGCACGGCGACAGGGTCAGACCCGCCACAGGTCGGCAGGCGTGGCGGCTACGCTCACGGTAAGTCAACGTCCCGGCGCCGGCGAGCGCGGAACGCTGGCTGAGTGTACATAGATGAGATCTTTGGGACGAGGCGCGCCTTGTTAGCATGTAGTATATCGCAAGATGTTCGATCTGGCCATTTTCAGGTTTGGGACAGCTGCGTGGGAAGATAACCGGGAATCTATTGACTGGGAGGAATTGTTGGCGGAGGGGGTAGGGGTGGGGTGGGGGGGGGGGGGAGATACGTATCCGCCCGCCTGGGCTGCTGTTTGTGGATGAGCGCCTTGATAGTTTGTAGACAAATGTGTTACACGCAGGCTAGCTTGTGGATGTTCTGTGTGTTTAAATAGAAGGCGAGCATTGATATTGATAAAATGATCTTAGTAGGTTGGAGGTTATGGACGTTGTTAGGCTATAACGGTGCCGGCACGTACACGAGTGCGTAGTTCTGGAACATCGATAAAGTACGCAGGACATGTTCCCAAACCTGAATATCTCCGAACAAAATTAACCTAGGATCGCCCAAAATGCTCGCTGAGAGATATGTCTTATAGCTGCACTTGGCCGCCAGATTTTGTATTTGAGGTTGCTGTGGTTTGGAATACTTAAAGAGGCCAACCGCATTTTGGGAATCGTAACAATAAACGCCTTCCTCTCAGACTAAGTAATCTTTCAGGTAACTTTAATCTACCGTGTTAATTCAATGCGTGGATGACCCATGCGTGGCAGTGGTGCTGTGTGTGAAGTGTTATTACAAATATAGAGTTTGGACAGTATGCTTTTCGTAGTCATATGGCTTCTTTTCGACGATCCACGCACGGTACTGTATGAAAAGACGGGTATAAACAAATGATCCACGCACAGTACTGTATGAAAAGACGGGTATAAACAAATGATCCACGCACAGTACTGTATGAAAAGACGGGTATAAACAAATGATCCACGCACAGTACTGTATGAAAAGACGGGTATAAACAAATGATCCACGCACAGTACTGTATGAAAAGACGGGTATAAACAAATGATCCACGCACGGTACTGTATGAAAAGACGGGTATAAACAAATGATCCACGCACAGTGTATGAAAAGACGGGTATAAACAAATGATCCACGCACAGTACTGTATGAAAAGACGGGTATAAACAAATGATCCACGCACAGTACTGTATGAAAAGACGGGTATAAACAAATGATCCACACATACTGTATGAAAAGACGGGTATAACAAATGCCAGCACAGTACTGTATGAAAAACGGGTATAAACAATGCATCGATCACGCTCAGATTAGATTGGCTTTCAGAGTAACTGAGCCGGATCAGCAATCAGAGAATCATATCAATGTGTGGGCAAAATTGTTTGCCCGCATGTCCTTAACTCAATTGGAAGGGAATGTTTCATATTTGGAGAAAATGAAGTAAGCATCAGATATGATGAAACGACCTCACTGATAGCTCTTGGCATATTTTTTTAGAAGAAAAGACTGCTCTAGACAGCATGACTTTTCCGTTTAGAAAGTAGGCTCCCAAATACGTCATTGTTTGATCATGCCATCCTAACTTGCACAGCATTGACCAATTGCCAATTGACGGTCGCTTTGTTTGGATTTCGTGCTTACGAGCTCGAGATATGACTGACACGACAATGGTATTTTTATTGGCTTTGGTTACCGCATGTCCTATGAAATAGCAGGATATGAATGACGTTATTATGACTCCAGGAATGCCAAGGTGAGTTTCAAAGATCTTCCAAATTACACTCCTACCTCCTTGCGACCTTTAAGCTCAAGAAGCGGAGGGGTTTAGGTCTTAAAAGAGCATGGCCGTGAGCTACATCAAAAGGTTTTCCATATTCTATTGTAGTCTGAACCCCCATATAAATGAGGAAGGCTCCCTTTAGGTGTTCTATTGATAGCTGTTGTATTATCTTTGCACGCCTTTTGCTCTTCTCCTCTTAGGCCGACAACGTGCTTATAAAGGCTGAAAAACATCACACATTGTCGACAACTAATTGTAATGCGTTTAGCTGTTGATAAGACACCAATGATTATGGATTCCTCAATTTATTTTTAGCACAACACGTAATTTGTGAGCGTATAATTTCGATCTCATTAATTGCGCAACGTCATAGATCTAAAGTGGATGTTCTCTCACTTCGTCGCCCGCCATGTTTCCTCTCAGCAGCCGTTCTAAGCGGGTCTTGAGGGATCGACGGACCCACATACTAACCCAGATCGGTGCAGCAGGGCGTACTGCTTGATCTTGTTTAATTCAAACTCGTGAACCGCCATATACCACGTGAAATACGACTCGTACACCATATGCATGATCTGGAAGGGCACACCAAAATAAAGCTGATCATCCGAGATGTGATAGATGTGGTAGATGGAAGCATTAACAACGGCAGATCTTCCTTCCGTGTCACTGCATTAATTGTGGATGTCATCACTGCTTCATCCCACATAACAATACTTCACCACATATGCATCATCGCACTGAGTGTAAGCTATTACAATGTATCGGATATTGATGAATGAGGCTGAGATTCATCGTTATGACAACAAAACGAGACTTTTAAATTCCGTTCCCACTGCTTATCAGCTCTGGGGTGTTGTCCACGCATACAGATCTTGGCTTGCTGTCGGGATTATTGATCTTTTCGTGCCTCTCACCATGATGTAGCGCATATCATTTTCATGCCACATGTTCTCATACGGCACAGGTGCGAACGCCAACAACTTATTCTGTCAAAGACGTTCGTTCCTCGTCAGGATGGCTGGGAGCGAAGTCAAACAAACGTGTGGTGAGGACAGTTGTTGATTTTTCAATACGCTCCAAACTAACGCAAATAACCTTCCTTGCGTGATACTCCTACGAAATCAAAGGCTTCAGTTGGTTTCAAATACCTGTTGGTTCAACGTTCCCCGTAGGATCGGGCTCGTTGCAGCCCAAATCCTTTGATGTCAACTCACACCTTAACATGCTCCAGAGCGCAATGCTCGGGATTGCATCAACCATTTTCACTTCGTGAAGGCACATCGCGCCTCGATTCAGTTAAGTCTGCAATAGTCTTACAAGCGTCGTGATGCTGGTAAGGACGTCAAATTTGCTAATTTCGAATGGTTCAATGTCCGTCTATCACTGATTAACCTACGCAAGCGGTCGGTAACCTTCAATTTTTCCCGCATTTGTATTCATTTGCCAGGAAATATGCCGATCCCCAGTGATGTATAACGCAATGTGGTAATCGCAGAAGCGCTCCTGTGTGTCGGGGGGGGGGGGGGGGATGGGTGACAAGAGCTTCGCGGTTTCCCGCTGTGAGTTTCTGCTCAATTCATGATGGATGAATGAAATTACGTGGGCTGCCATGACCATAAGTTTTACTTGTTCCCTGAAAATGCCAGACACAAGTGACGTAAGCGATGGTCTCAGATGGGGGTTTATAGATGAGGGAGGTACATCCGTTTGCTAACATGTGTTGTTTAATGAGGAGTCAGGGAGAATGGTCTTATAACACAAAGGAAGAAATTGGGAGTCATTCTTATCATTAAGGAAATATCTTCAGACGATGCAGGGTGATAATCAAAATCGTTTTGGGATAGCATAAGTAAAGCCAAATAGAAAGCCGTGGTTCCATGCCGTTATGGTTGTGTCGTATTATACCAACAAAACACACGTAAATATAGGATGCTTGCTTACATACACATGTATAATCTTTTGGACTCAAAACACCAGTCGTTTTTAAAAGACTAGGTAGTTTTTGACGATTGAAGTTAAGGGTAGCTTCAGATGGACGCATTGTGTTTTTTTTTTCCTGAAGTTGCTGAAGTCCTGAAGTGCGTGCTGAAGCAATGTGCCATTTGTGTCTTGCGTGTGTGAAATGGGATTAAGCATTCAAACGCTTTGTGATTTGTAGCAAGCCATAATACAAAACTCTTACCATTATGAAGCATGGTTGTCATGCGGCGACTTTTTGGTTTCCCTCGGCTGGTAAGAAAACGCACACCTTAGCCTGATCCGATACGTTGAAGAGCAATTTATCAGTGGCACAGTCTACGCACAGGGCTATTCGGTGGCCCGTTTTTATATTAGGTTCATTGAGTTTTTCTACTGCATTCATGCGCCATCTTTGAAGCTCATTTCTTACACCATTCCTTCGGAACTAGGATCTGCATCGATGATAAGACAACTCCGTGTTTCGCCCTTTGGCGGTATTCCCCCTTCCAGAACTTGGAATTGAAAATGTTCCCATATATGTTGTGTAAAAAGAAGCTGAATACATGTAGGAAATTGTAGGTAGAAATTGTAGGAAACTGTATGTAAGAAATTAGCCTGCGCCGAAGCATGCGCGCCTATACTTAGGGTTACCGTGAAGTGGAGTGATGCATTATCTCATCTCGATCTTCGCTATTCTGACGCGTAACTACCCCGTCACCTTAATGCGAATACTGCATGAGAAAACTGGACCAGCTGCTGAACTAGCCCGGAACCCCACTTCTCGGTTGGCGAACTCCAATCACGAAAGCAATTTCGGTTCCAAAAATGGCTATGTCATAAATGCGCTGTAAAGCGACTTCAGCCCCGCCGTAGGACTGCGTCAGTTGCCGATGACAGGTGCTGTGCGGCAGTCCTGGAGCAGCGGCGCGCAAGATGACCCCGACCCGCGCACGCAGTCATGTCACCGGCGCCCTGGCACCCGCTGGCGGTCAGGAGGCGCGCCACCCACGCTCGCGCGGCTCGAGCTCGGGGTGTCTCCCAGAGTGATGACTGAGAGCGACATCGGATCGTGTATGGATCGTGACCGGCTTCTGTCCGGCAAATCAGTGTCGGGCGCGGCTGAGCAATGGCTGCGAATGCGTCACTGGCCTGGCTGAAGGGGACGATAGATGATCGATCGGTGTCATTTGGGACAAGTGATGAGCTTAAATGAATTCTCAGACGGAAGGAATTGCGCGCAATTGGGCTCACTGACAAAAGGTGTGAATGATATCTTCACTTCGATGCCAACTCGTAATGGATGTTGAGGAAATTTATGCGAGCGCATCGGTGTGGCTAGAGAAGGGATCGAAGGCGTGGAGCTTGAAGTGATTGCATGACAAAATGAGCCCCTGATTCTTTTGTTTATTTATCGACGGTTAATTTACCAGGAGATACTGGTTAAACGATGTTAAAGGACAATCATTCGTTATAATGATAGTGTGCAAAGTACTGTCAATGAAACCCATGCTTGCGCCAACACGTCATTTAACCAGCGCCTCCTAGTACATTGAAGGTGATAACTCAGCATGGGGTCTCTAAACTCATGAACTCTTAAACACTTGAAGGTGAATGTTTTCTTTCTTATCCAAATTTGTATACAAATTAACTACAGCTCGTCTGCATCACGTTCATTTGCATATACATGTTTTGCAAGCGCATATGTCGGCTTCCCATCAGCGAAGACGATTGCTACAAGGTTGTGCGGGTCATCACGCTTAAGTGGCCTTGAGAAATCATGCCTGCAGAAAAGTTGCTGCTTAGCTTGATATATGCACAGAAAGTTGTGATGCCCTAATTTATCAGGCCTCTGTTTTTACGATGCATCGTTATGGTGCCTTTACCCGTATGGTTGAGGTGCCTTTAGTTTTGCTGGCTACTCTGTCTTTCTATTGCCAGAGTGTTTCATAGCTGTGTGTATTAAATGGGCCTCCCACTGGACGATGACAACACTGTGACGTAATATTCCCACCTATAGCGTTACGAGGTGGTATGCTGGGGGGTCCTCATTACAAACCAACAATGTTTCGTTACTCTGGATTTTGTCGGATAATGAAGAACTACTTTATGGAATCCAAATGTACTGCTGTTTTAACGGATTTAAAGTTGGAACATCTCTATGCTGGTACCGATCTCTCAATCCGACACTGGTCAAATTTCCTTCATCACCGTATAGAATATATGCTGTACCTACAGTAGAGATACTGATGTGCACCTTTCCGAAGCTGTCGGTTGATCGATTTTACATCTTTAACCAAAATACAAACTACCAGGCTGTGTTAGAGCGGGTGTGAGTGACGTCTGAGTGACGTTATGTCTGCCGACTTTGAACAAAAGACACAGGGGTGCAGACAAAGCGGCATAGAAATCGATAACAAGAAGATTTTGAAATCCGTAAAAGGTAAAGGCAACAGATAATTGATAACAGCACCTCCAATCGGTCTGAAGTTTGTACAAATAAGCTCGGTCATCAGTGCAAGTCCTGGTTTCAAAGCTGATTAAGATTTGGCAAAAAGGAGTACAGGGATGGGTTGGATGGGTCACAATGGCTTACATGTGTATGCCTACAACACGGTCAAGAAATGCGCTGTCAATCGCCATTACCAAAATCTGTAGCGGATTTCGCAGATGCATATCGTGAAGCATGGACGCATATCGCGGAGCAGTGCTATGAATGGGAGTGCCAGATATAACACAGGGATATGAGTGAATGGAGAGAACCAGCAGCTGATAGTGACCCAACTTGACACCACCGCTGTCAAACGTAAGCGCGTCGAAACCCACACTCGCATTAAACATCAAAGACGAAGACACCAAACCCAGAATGTTTTGCCAAATGTCTTGCGTTCTTACGGCACTCAGATTGACATAGCTCCTCTCACGAGTCTTCATGCCAGGTCTAATCTGTCCTAAATTAAACTGCATTCTGCTCAGAAATATAGCGTTTGAAGGATTTATACGCTGGGCTTTTCTATTAGGGGCCAGAATGAAGCTTATAGCTGCCACCGTAAGATATATATGCACATATCTAAACGGATCAAGGCTGCATTGATCGGCATGAAGAGATGACACATAATCGTTTCCACCCATTTGGCACCTATGTCAAACTGTTTAAGAGGGATCTGATATGACCAACAACACGGCTCAAGCAACGCGCATTTTCCATTTCGCCTTTATGGTCCAGATAAAAAACACCAGCTCATTGCGAATCCATTCAATTGCACGAACATTGGAAGGTTTATTCAGCATGAGCTGTGTTGAGGATTGACTCTCTTGTATCAACCGAATTACTTTGCAGTACGTAACGTCATATGTTTGGATGAAAGTGTTAAGGTTTTGCGCGTTGCGCGCATAAACAAGGTCGTAGAATTATCTCAATTAGTTCAGAATTACATCGTCACAGAATCTGAGGAAACATTTCTATATTGCACTGAGCCGGTGTGGATTAGAAGACTGAAACAGAGGTGAATCAGTGATACGATTGGAGTTGAACTCGGTCAATTACGTTCGAGGGGATTCCGCAAATTCAGCTGTTCGGTGGTATTTCCGCTGCAAGTGGTATCTACAACAGTATATGCAAAAATTTGAGAAGCTGTGGGAGCCTTAGGGCCGGCTGCCATTACTACAAACATGTTAAATTTAGCACATGATGGCTGAGTTCGGGCCCCATAACACTAATGACACCATCAATTTTATCCACCACCGAGGTGCAATATATAACCATTAAGACGTCTTTGGCGGCGCGCAGCGGTATGAGGCCTCTTCCATTGGTCGAGACCCAACACTGAGGCCCCTCAGCAGCAACACGAATAATAAATACTTTCCCATTGCATGAATTGCTGGCGGCGCTCTAAACGCCGACTCGACTAGTTTCAGGCATGCATTACAATATTGCGCCGGTAAAACTTACAGCTCTGTCTTTCACACGGACGAGCTTCACGCTCCACTTGCGAACGGGCGAAATTTGCATGTATACGTGCATAATAAGACTGCACATAGTAATTCCTAATACGCGACCATTTTCGCCTTCGCACGGTCCACCACATGGTCTTCGGTGCTTGTTGTCATCATAGGCCGAAGTCGCGCGGCCTATGAATACTGCATCGCCTGTAGTTGGCGTTTTCCTTCTAACGGTATGAGAACAGGCGTGCTCAAATCTATTTTGTATGACTTTTACTCATATTTTCCGAAGAAAGGATGTGTGTCCCCAGATGGAGATGGGCCAGCTATGTCCTCATACAATTTTAACCCCCCTTCGAGCTACTCGGGTGTTTTCAGGACGGCACTTATCAATATCTGTGTGAGGCCCCTAGATCCTGAAAATACCTTCACTGCTATCAGTTTAGATATATATATATATAATATAATATATATATTTCGTGCCTTCGAAGTAATTCCCCCGGTGAACCCTTTTGGTTGAGTGGGGGGAAAGGCTTTGCCAAAGCATATACCCCACTTACCAAAGCTCTGGCCGCACACCAGGTCATCATAGCACTCGACGTTGCGGCAGAATAAAGCTGACGAGGAATGGGACGAGGATAGTGGAAGTCATTGATGGCTGCGCACGCTTTCGTTGATAGATTTATAGACGATATTACAGTTAGCCACCGTAGCTAATCTTGTTTACACATAGGCGTAGTAACGTTTCAAACGTGTGAAGGGGCCAGGCTAAGAGCACACTTAAGCGGGGTACTAGAACAGCCTGAAATTTGCCCCTAAATATCTCCGTTCGCCGTTCATGGAAGGATAAGGTGCTGTCATTTACCACGTGAATAGTTTTTGTCCAGTGCGATTTCAAGAAGCTGGCTGGTCAGCTCGGTAGATCAGTATGCATTTTTTAGACGGCGCGCAAACAAACTAAACGCAAACTAAATCTGACAAGTGTGTGTGGGGGGGGGGGGGGGGGGGGGGGAGTTAACATTGCTGCCTCAACCACCACCCCAACCCTCCTTGGAAGATGTAATGTGACCGATGGTGACGTGATGAGGGGTTAATGTGGCCGATCGTTACGTGATGGGGGGTTAATGTGTCCGGTCGTTTCGTGATGAGGTGTTAATGTGTCCGGTCGTTTCGTGATGGGGGTTAATGTGTCCGGTCGTTTCGTGATGAGGGGTTAATGTGTCGGGTCGTTTCGTGATGGGGGGTTAATGTGTCCGATCGTTTCGTGATGAGGGGTTAATGTGTCCGATAGTTTCGTGATGAGGGGTTAATGTGGCCGATCGTGACGGCATAAGTGAACTACGTGAGGGGACGTGCTGGTGGCGAAGTGCACAGCTGTCACGGCAACAGCTGGGCAACGGCGAGGGAGGCGGCGGAAGATGGCAGGCTCATTCTTATACTGCCGATCGCTATACTGCCGACCGCTATACTGTCGGCCGCTATACTGCCGATCGCTGTACTGCAAGCCGCTATACTGCCGGCTGCTATACTGCCGGCCGCTACGCTGCTAGCCGCTACACTACCGACCGCTGTACTGCCGATCACTATACTGCCGACCGCTATACTGCCGGCCGCTATACTGCCGACCGCTTTACTGCCGGCCGCCATACTGCCGACCGCTATACTGCCGGCCGCTATACCGGCCGATTGCTATATGCTGGCCACTTTTCTGCCGGCCGCTTATACTGCCAGCCGTGTCTGTACTGCCGGCCGCTGTACTGCCGAATCGCTATACTACCGACCGCTATACTGCCGGCCCGCTATACTGCCGAATGCTATAATGCTAGCGTTGTCTGGTCTGCCGAGCCGTGGCTGCCAAAAAGCGTGCTACTTCCGGGCGCTACAACTGCTCCCGGTGATGGCTCAGGCGCTTCGCAGAAAGTTTATATGGGAAGTAAAACATGTCACACGATGACATTATGGCTTATGGTTTGGTTAATAGGAGTTTGCCGAGTTGCGCGCCAGTAATAAACGTTTCTCTTTTCTGAAGGCATTCATACAACATGTTACGAAGGTTATCAGAAGTTTTGAGAACCTTGGCTTTTGTTGTAAAAGAGGCGTGACATTTCTGTTTGCAGCTGCGTAACTGTGTCGTACCTAGCTGATTGTGCGTTGCCAGGTACCCAAGGGACACGGGTGACTGCCAATACCCTGCGCCCCTGCGGCAGGTTTATGCAGCATGATGAACAGCCAGAACCACAGTGCTCTACCGGCTGCGGCCACCGCGGGCGCCTCCGCTGCCCACTCTTGAGGTGTACCCGACCGGTGAGTAACCGCCGCCGGCGCAGCTGCCGGGCGTCCGGAGCACTCGCTGGACAGGGTCACGCTCGCGTCGCCGCTGAGAGCGCTGGAGTAGATCTCCCGCTGTCGCGCGTTACGGAGCCCTGCAGCGTCACGCGACTCCTGTCGTGCGTAACGGGAGTCCTGCGCGTCACCAGAGCTCAAGCATGCCCCAGTCGCCAGTTTGGCTCGATGACATCGGCTTGCTACGCTAGAACGACACCCGCAGGGCCAGCCTGCGCCCCCCGCCGCGCTCGCTGCCGACGGGCGCCGTGCTGTGTGTGTTCCAACTGTCGAGTCAAGGACTCGCTTCAAGCCAGCTCTAGACATACGTACTATCGTCTGCTCTTGAGCCACATTGGTCACATCCAGAGCGTTATGCGTGTGTGTTATGGATCATCGAATAGGCGGACAAGAGTTGGAATGCTTGGGTCGCAGTTAGGTGAGGTCCGTTTGTGCGCTGCTTCACTGGACCGTGACGGGATGGTTCTGGCTGGCGGGCTGGCTGGCGGCCTGGAATGTGCGCACACTTGGGCTCCAAACTGGACAAGAAGACACGCATGCACCTTACATCTGCTGCCATCGCCGGAAGGGAAAAACACAAAGCAGTGCCTAAAACAAACTTGAAATTATATTTTACCATACGGAACTCAAGCATACGTAACCAGTCAACATGCTTGTCTTAATTTACATCATTTTCGTAACTGTAGCGCGAAGGAGAAGCAAAAGCGGTCTTTTCGCACCGAATGCCATTCGGTCCATAGACAACCACGGCCCTTGTACACGAACGCCACACGCACTAAATGAATACATGCCCGGTCTCTCAGTTGATCAGGCGAGCGGCAGCGACGCGGCAGCGGAAGCCGCCCGGCAGCGGCAGTCGTGCCCACCCGAGGCGAGCGGCGGTCCCAGCCGTGGCAGCAGCGCGCTTGTGGCGGCTGTGGAGTCGGCGCTCTCCTCGGCCGACTATTATCGCGGCGTCACAATGCCCGTCAAGCCGACGCCCAGGCGGCGCGGCGACTCAGCGAGTAAATAGCGCGGACGGCGGCGCCGGTCTCTGTCGTCGGCGCGGCCGGCATAATGAGTCCACAGTTCCCACCGGGCACGCCTGGGATTGTTTGACTGCAATTTGGCCGGGCTCGAAGAGCGGCTCGGCTAAATCCTGGCACGCTGTTGGCTAAGTATGTGCGCCTCGCACGCAGCGCGGTATGGAAAATGAGGCCGGAGAACTAGACAGTGTCGTGAGATCGCACGGAATCGAGGCAGAAAAACATATCGACTGGATTCGCATATGGTAGCATCCGGGACTTTCGGACACAGCTGCAGCTGTGTGGGCGCATGTGCCCACATGCTGGCCAGTTATGTCTTGACAGCAAAGATATATTTGCTGCATATTTCAGACATTATTTGACACTAGTGACTAATGACCCCGCTCGCAAGTGTCAGTCGATATTAGACAGGTGCTGCAGAAATTGTGCATTCTGTTAATGCTAAAACTTAACACGTTCACCGGACTTATGTGGGACGTCCCCGGACGAAGGCAACACACGTGACCTGTGCGGTGGACGCAATCCTAGCACCTCGTCCGTAAACTGCACAGCGCGGCTTCCACGACAGCAGCGACGACTCTCGGACCACGTGCCCAGTAGAGCACGTCCTCGTTGCTCTAATTAAAATGGTCTAAGTTATAGATAGAAATAGTCATCATTTGCGAGAGGCATCCAATTAACACCGTTGGAAAACGCTGCGATTGATTTTCAACCAAAATACGTCACGAGCTGGGGGCCTTGAGCGGCGTGCGACGAACGAGGTCACGACATACGACAAAGTTGTCACTTATCACCATGCGTGTGGCAACATAATATAGGCTAATGGAGGCCGCCATCCTTGGAAGCTCCTACCATTGGTTCAGATAAACACATTAGGAAGTTGGCCTACCGTGGAGATCAAGCATCCCCTAAAGATTGTCTGACTACGGGTCCGGACAGCCCTGGTTATTTCGATCGAGATGATCGCCCACTTTGCTTATGCTTATAGGCACTTCAGTGAGTCAAACTGTATAGCACAGAAAAGTGCACATTACGTTGGGCTTCGATGAATGCCAGACATAGGTTTGGCATGTAATTTCTAACTGACAGATTTAGAATACAAACATAAGCTGTTATTGTTAAAACCGTGGTTACTCAATTTATATCTATCTCAATATGTCTATCCTGGACACGATTTATGTCAAGCAATCATGGTTACAACGGCAATTCAGTTTACGCTGTTCATCAGCGCAGTGATACTGTGTCCGGGACTTTGTGAGTGCGAGACATTACGGTAACGGTTAAAATATTCATTTATGCATGTCACTGGTATCGTCTGGAGTCCGCAACAGCAATGTGCTACAACCTATCAGAGCGGCTCGACGTATTTGGGCCAATTTAGATGCGCTACACGATAACGCTTGTTCAGAGGACTCCCGCGAACATCAGTTCGTAGGTAGACAAATAGGTCAGCGCTGTGTGCAGACATACGGGGTCATGTCTCAAACCTGCGCTTATTTGATTGGTTCATCAGATCACCAAACAGCTGACCAACAGAGCTAGGCTGTGCGGTTGTCTTCATTAGCTTCGGTGTCGTCGCATGGCATACCATTTTTTTTTTTACTGAAATCGCTTTTGATTTCACGTTCTTATGTTTACATTTGACCCGCCACCAAAGCGCCTGCGAGAGCACTCATGACTTGATTTGCCGTGATGGGCGCTTCGTAATATTTTCGTATGCACGATTCCGACTTACCCACTTAAAGTGCTTTTATTTTATTTTCAGGGTGTAGTTTATTTTAGTTTCACGTGTGCCTCACAATCCTCACTGCTGATGCACACGTGTCTATGTTTCGTACCCGCCTAGAATCACCGTACTCAGCACTGAGAGTGCTTGCGTGGAATGCACGTTAGAATGAAGCTTGACTGCGCTTCAATGCCCATTTAAAGCTTAGGTCTATTTCAGCCGGAACCTTGGAATCACGGCTTTAAATCGTTGGGTATATTTCATATCACTGCATGTAATGCTCGTACAAGTGACCCTCGCTTCAAATAAGCTATTGAATCACAACAAACAACACTTTATTATTCACGACATAAAACAGCTCACTATGGCAGGTGCGAATCATATACAACTCATCGCCGCCGGGGCATTTTTCGCCAGATCGCGTCGGAGCGTGCCTCGGAGGCTGAGGGATCAGCCTTCGTCCGGCCATCCCCTCTGTTGATATTGATCTTCGCGTCGGGCCATCTGTCTTGATCCCAGCACCACATTACAATGGAAGGGACCATCCCCCCTCCCACTCACCCCCCACCCCCAAGCCGGCGGCACGTCCGCGGCACGCCCGGCCGGCGTCCAAAGCTGACCATCGGAGCGGCAATCGCCGGCGCCAGCTTTGTCCGCGTTGTGAGCTTGTCCAGGGCCTCCAACCGAGCAGTTGCTGGGTCACACTGAAACCCGGGGTGTGTCGGACATGGCGGCGGTGGACCCAGGCCCAACGCCTGATGAGAAACGATTGGAAGCCTTGAATTTCCTTGAGAGGAATGTCGATGGGTATATGTGGGGAACGTGGGCTAACGTGAGGATAAAGGAGGCAGTAGTACTTGGCTTACAGCTCTCTACAGTGTTTTACTCTATTGATATTTAAAGCATGGCAGGAATAGTAATGCAAACGGGGTACTTCAAGCGCAAGCGATCAAAAATACAGAAAATACTTGGAAAACAATACAAGAATATGTATTCAATGACTACGAAAATGATATGTCGCTCAAAAAGGTTTTCTGCCCCAGGCAATAACCCACCAATGGTTTTCTGCCCGGGCTATCAGGAAACAAACATGACTGGTTTCGAATGCATGCTTTACATGTTCGCTTCCCACGCCTAAGCGTACCAAGCTATCTGTATTATCTAGCATCACCGTCATTGCAACATGCTTTGCATAGATAATTGGAGGTGTGAACAGTAGGCACGCCTTCAACCATAACGCAGCAATGGAACATGATTTCTCCACCAGTTCAGTCATGAGAGCGGATCGGGACGAGCTCCTAGCTGAGCACGCTCAACAGGAGCAGCATGATGAGGCGTACCTGCGTCAGAAACATTACAGACGTTTCTGCTCTCCGCGGCATGATTTGTGTGTCTGTTTTTCGTTTCCACTCGAATGTCGCTGATAGTTCATATTAATGGGCACAGCTGTTTTCACTTTATAAGCTATCGCCGGAAATCGAAAGAAGACTCATCGATCAAGATGAAAGAATGGGCATCAACGCTCAAGATTCCGCTGAACTGACGCGATGGTCAGTCGTAGTTTTCACTTTGTCGACAGACACTGTAGCTCCCAAACGAAACATTTGCATTTCCTTTATCTCTCCAAGGCTCTGGTGTCGTGTTTTTGTTCGACATCTCCTTTCCCTAAAAGCAATAGCGTTCGGAACAAAACCTTGCATTCAGACTGCAGCTCTGGCAGTTCCCCTTTAGGCAGTTGGTCTGCGCCTGTTCTCCATCCAGCGTGTCGTTTCTGGCTATTGTACGCGAGGAGTATTTCACCAACTCCCGGCTATCAATAACACGCCGCATGACAGCCAGTCGGACGCCCGGAATTACGAGAGCAAGCAGCACCAGAGCGAAGCCCTGTCGGCGGCGGGGCCTGGCTGACTTCAATTCTGCATCAGTTCCCAAGCTACATCGATCGAGGAACGGATCACCGCATTGTCGTCCCGCTTGAGCGCCCAAACAGCAAACAACTACGCATAGGTACAAAGGTCAACTTTTCACGGTGGCCAGAAAGCTGCAAGATTTTGTTTATTTTTATCTTAATAAGCGTCAAAGATTACGTTGGGTGTTACGTCCCCAAAAGCAAAACAAAAGATCGATGGGATGATTTCAGGCCATTGATCTCCTCTTGCCTTTAGCGAGTTCAAATAACACATTTGTTCACCTTTCTGTATTAAACAATCGAAACCAGCGTCAAAAACTATTTCACAGAGTAAGGCCTCCAGTAAAAACAAACTTAACTTTTGAGTTAAGTTTGTTTTTATTCATTCTTGAGTGAAGGTGAATTGAACTATTCGTACACTAACCCAAATTGTCCGGTTGTCAAAGTAACCGTCGCTAAGATGTAAAGCTTCGTGTAACACTCCGTTATCGCATCAGATTGAACGATTCCCTAGGAATTGCCTTTGCTGACAGCTAAGGCCTGGCAATGACCTGTCATACGCCAGCGACCTTACAAGGTACGTATAACAAGTTATACCAAAATATCGCCTCTTTAATTGGCTACAAATATGCAAATTCGGAGCGATTACACAGCGTCGTTCAGAGCTGGTTTTTGAAAGAATCGTAAGGTCCCCTCAAGCAAGCGCGTGCCGGAGGAGCCGAGACTTCATGGGTTTTTGAACTGAGGTAACCGTTTTCATAATCGATCATGCAGTTTACAGTCATGCTTTTTCCTTTGCCCTGATTCACCGTCCGGTATGGAAGTGCAAGTGAAAGATATGTCATAATGAAAAATATACATGAATACCACGAGAATAGGCTACAACGCACGCACATAACGCTCGTAAGCTAGATTTATACGCATAAGCCAAGAACTCCACCTTACGACGCGAAAAAGTACCAGAATCGGGTCACGCCGTCCGCTACAGCGGCAACTCGGACACGGCAACTCTGACAACGACTCTTACGTCCCAAAAACTTTCCAAGATGCTATCAAAGATGACGTATTGAGGGTCATATTTACTAATATTCATTTTTTTATTTACAGCTGCATTTTACACTTAATATAGAATTATACACAAATAAGCTTTTCCATCATATTTCATGCCCCAATATCTCAAACACCTCACCTCAATATCTTGAAAAGTGGAGCAGTTGAATTATTGTCAAAATTGCAACCCGTCGAAACTTTGGGTATCCTTTTATTCCTTCCATATGTCTCCCCTATTCTACGTCACCAGCTCGATCTGTAGGGTTTTATGATTCTACACAATTTCAGTGCACCAGAGCACTTCAGGGGAAGGTATGCCTTAGCGGTACTTCCAGTGATGGCAGTGTTTTAGTTCATAGCGACTCAAGTGCAACCCATTACTGGCGCTGTTTTTGCTGCTCGTAATCTCTTGGGTCGAAAGCCGCCCTTTGAACACATGCTGTTCTGTTTTTCTAGAACGAAACGTAACTGGAATTTGAAGGATAGTTTGTAAGATCTGTCCTTTTGAAAGTAATTTTGGGCCCTTTAACACTGTCATCATTTTCAATGCTTGTGTGACGCCGAGCAGTACTCACCAGACGCACTTGACGGGTTTAACCGACTGCAGCACGGTCTCTCATTGCGACATCACTAGTGACAATCTAAAGACGCAGGCTGGAGGCATCTAAAGCATAACAAGTGGCACTTCAGCCCCAGCTCCTTCTCAGTGCCTAATTACCCATGACTCTGTGCTGCTGTTATTTCATCACCCCTCCGTTTCAGCTTGGCCTCAGTCCCGGCTCAGCTCCATCAACGTCGCCTGAGCTCCGGCTTTATTTCAGTGTTTCCTCAGTCCCACCTTTATTACAATGTCGCCTCAGCCCCGGCTCTGTGTAGAGTTGGCTCTCTGCTGGCTCAATTATACTGTTGCACGGCCCCGGACCTGTTTTGTGCTGACTTCACACCGGTTTTGTTAGAGTGGAAATCCTGGCCCGAATCGGTGCCAGGGTCGCACCACCCCTAGTTTTGTTCCACTGTCCTCAAAGCCTTGACTCTGTTTCCGAGCCAACGCAGCTAGCTTCAGTTCTGGCTGTGTTGCAGTGTTGTCCTAGCACCGGCTTTTTCAGTGTCGCTGTGTTTTCTTAGCTGTTTTTAATTTCTTAATTTTGCTCTCAACTGTATTTCGATCCCGCGGCATTACTGCCTCTGTTTTCAGCCCCTTAGGTTTCGTCCAGTTCGTGCTCTGTTTCAGAGCTACCTCAATGGCTTTGTTTCACTGTCACCTCATTTCTGACTTTTTCAGAGTGGCTCTGTTCGGCCCTTCTCTCAGCACCGGCTCTGTTTCAACCGCTCTGTTCAGCTCTGCTCTCAGCTCCGGCTCTCCTCAGCTCTGCTCTCAGCACCGGCTTTGTTTCAGCTGCTCTGTTCAGCTCCGCTCTCAGCACCGGCTCTGTTTCAGCTGCTCTGTTCAGCTCTGCCCTCAGCGCCGGCTCTGTTCAGCTCTGCCCTCAGCGCCGGCTCTGTCCAGCTCTGCTCTCAGCGCCGGCTCTGTTTCAGCCGCTCTGTTCAGCTCTGCCCTCAGCGCCGGCTCTGTTCAGCGCTGCTCTCAGCTCCGACTCTATTTCAGCCGCTCTGCTCAGCTCTGCCCTCAGCGCCGGCTCTGTTTCAGTGTCGCCGCAGACGGTCGTCATCCCGATCGTGTCCAGCATCATCGTGTTCCCGGCCGCGGCGCTCACCGTCATCTGCTGTCTGCGGTACCGGGCCAGGCGCGCCCGCCGCAGAGCCAAGCGACCCAGGTAGGTCACCGGAACTCGCTCGCTCGCGCTATATATATATATATATATATATATATATATATAGTATATATATATGTGTGTGTGTGTGTGTGTGTGGTGTGTGTGTGTGTGTGTGTGTGTGTGTGTGTGTGTGTGTGTGTGTGTGTGTGTGTGTGTGTGTGTGTGTGTGTGTGTGTGTGTGGTGTGTGTGTGTGTGTGTGTGTGTGTGTGTGTGTGTGTGTGTGTGTGTGTGTGTGTGTGTGTGTGTGTGTGTGTGTGTGTGTGTGTGGTGTGTGTGTGTGTGTGTGTGTGTGTGTGTGTGTGTGTGTGTGTGTGTGTGTGTGTGTGTATGCATCATGCAGCAACAGTAGTTTCGCAGTGCACTCGTGATGTACCTTGGGAAGAAAATGCAATAAAGTCCACTGATGCTAGTAAAGACATGAAAGCGTCTGGAAAATGCCGAAAGCATAAGCGCACGGCCAATATCCCATTTTAAGGATAGTATTTCAAATTTTGCGCAGACTGGCCCGCAGTGCACTCTGTGAAGACGTTTGCAATACATTGATGGTTCGCTTTTGTTCAAGTCTGAGCTCGGAATAATAGGTATCCGTTAACGTCAACTTTAAATATATTTCTATGGACGTGACATGGAAAAGATTACGCACCATGCCCTCCTTGACGTAGAATTAGTGCTTAAGTTGCTGCCATGGTACCCAGCTAGTCAGTCCGATCAGCATGAATGCCATCTGTCAGGAAGCTATCAATCTGCCACAGATCGTTTAGTGCCGTGTGCCTTTCGTGTCCTGGCGAATGGACGCAATTCTTTTGCCCTCGTCAGGACGCAGGGCCAGATAGCCCGTCGAGAAGCCCTTTTGTGGGTCAGGATATGTTCACCATTATCGGCACAGTGCTCCGCCGCCGACAAAGGTCGACTGTGGTGCGGTGTAAGAGCCCTACGTTACTCGCATGACTCGGATAAACGCCAAACGATGTTCTGACTCAGTGGCTTAGCGGGAGTCTAGAAAACGACTGCGGTTCGTTCTGTAGATGGGACCTCCCCAGTCAGCTGGCCCCTGCACGAAAAATGGCCATGGTTGCCATGCCAGCCCATCATCTGCGTTTATCATATTCGGTTCGTTTTCTCGGGATCTGCCATCTTCACATGACGGCTCGTGGGCGGTAAAGCTCGCCTAGCTGCTAAGACCGCCTGAGGTTCAATCCCTGGAAGAGTCAGTCATATAGTCCAGTTGTCGCAGTGTGAGACGGCAACATCTCCGCGTGGTAACCGGTTTGCCAGACTTTGTACCGTTTTGTTATCGAGTTAGTACGGCAGCTCACCGCATTATTTAGCTGATCATTTTAGGTTCACGGGAGACACGCTCAATACCAGAGAAAAGCGAAAACCCTACGGAAGGACGCACTGAGACTGCAGGCACAACACGACAGAACGCAATACGAAAGCGGACGGCTCTCTCGCGGTTTACAACGGCTTGGCTGTGCATCGTGACTTCACTTAGGGCTGCAAACAGCATATTCTGACTGTTAAACTGTAGTTTAGACTACGGTAATTCAATTGAGGCGACTAGCAAGACGGTCAATCCAATGAATTTCAGGTTTAAGGGTCCCTCCTCCCTGCCAATGACAATTGTCTTCCTCAAATCGTAGAAGGAAATATACAGTGCGTACAGAAAAGATACCATTTTTGGGGGAATTATTCTGATATTTTCGCTTGACATTGACGGTGCACTTACATTGCACATTAAGAAAACGATCGATAGGAAATTTTGTGAAACACATTATTTTTGACAGTTATCTTATCATGGTCTAGTGGTGTAATACAAATGATCGGTGCTAAGAAAGTTCCAGTGATTGTCAGATTGTCATGACAGCATGAAATCGATACATGCTTCACTCGACCAGCATTCAGTGTGTTCTCAGCAAAACAGCCACAGTTGATATTTTCGTCGCTTGTTCATTGCGTCTTCATGAATAGATGGTAAATTTGATATTATAATGCATGCAATCAAAAGTCATAATCATGTTTTTCTTTGTATCATCCTAATGTTTCACGTTTTATGCTATGGATAGACACGGAAGCAGCTTGGGCACCAGGTCGTTTCCTGAACCGAAAAATAGCTTGCGCCATTGTCACGCCACAGAAAGTGACACGTTTTGCACTACGTAAGTCAGATCGATCGATAACAGGCTAAATTCACAGATTCGGTATCGCCACCAGAGGCTTTTTAGTAGCAATCCTAGTTTATACTGATGAAGTTTTGTGAAACTTTTCCAGGTCGCACACTCTTATGCGCCGTAATTTCAGAGGGTACAAGTCAAAGTTCCACATAACAAAAACCCCCGTCGGCGGCTGCCAGCACCCATCGATATATCGGGCTTCTTTCAGAATCTGCGTCTTTGACGAAGGCTCAGCATTAAACCATTTGGGACTCAGCGAGCTGTGGCCATAAAGCCACGGATAAAGCATAGCCATCCGCAGGCGACTAATGTGGTACCGTCTTCCAGGCTTGGTGACAAGGCTGACCGCGCTGTTCCAGTAATCCGTATAGATGGCACGAGAAGAACCGGCCTGGGTAAGGAATGCTCGCTCAGAGAGAGCGTGGGATTAGGCGTGGGCTTGGCGTCCGAGATGTTTATCGAGACGATTTGCACTTTTCATTAGCTTCAGTCCCAGGCGCGATGCTCGTGTACCGTGAAATACAATTGTGGGATGAAGGCGTGGTTTTGTTAATGGAGGATCCTACAGAAATGTCTACTAAAGGATTTGCTGGGCATGTGAAAAGACCGAAACTGAGAGTGAAAATGAGACTAAGACTGAGAATGATACTGAGACTGACAGCGAGAGCGAGAAGCGAGACCGAGACAGTGACAGAAACGGACGGGGTGGGCTGGGCAAGTCGGGGCAGGGCGGGGCAGGGCAGGAAAAGGAAGGAAGGGGAAGGGAAGGAAAGGGAAGGGATGGATGGGGTGTGATGGGATGGAATGGAATGGGATGGGATGGGATGGGATGGGATGGGATGGGATGGGATGGTAAGGGAAGGGCAAGGCAAGGTAGGGTATTGAAGAACAGCGCAGGAAAAGAGAGAACAGGCAAGACAAGGTAAGACTGGACAAAACGGGTCAGATCAGGTCAGGTCAGGTTAGGACTGGACTGGACTGGACTGGACTGGACTGGACTGGACTGGACTGGACTGGACTGGACTGGACTGGACTGGACAGACTGGACAGGACAGGACAGGACAGGACAGGACAGGACAGGATAGGGCAGGACAGGACAGGGCGAAAACAAGGTGCAGTGAGGCGGCCTGACTACTCATGTCCTGTCCCGTCTCGACTCAAGGATCTTAAGAAAGACTGTGAAGATTTTAAGGTCCCTCAATCTGGTGGAATTGGTCCCTCAACCAAAACGTCATGTGAGATGAATACAAGGCCGGTGTTGTACTATATTATGTTAGGTTTACGAATGTCACGGAATCATTATTTGTGTAATGTTGTTAAAACTGAGCTTCAATCCGCATCATTCATGTTCATTGCGGCGGCTAAATTCACTGCGTGTCTGCTATGTCAGTGGTCCTCTGTCCTGGCTCTTGCTGTGAAAAGCCAACTATTTCATTAGTCAAGACATTCCGATTGGTGTGCATTCGTTGGCTGTTCATACGTCAGACATAACATAGTTTCAGTTCAGTTATTTAGCGATTTTATAACCTCTCCAAAAGTTGCTTTGGGTCACCGCGCTACAAACGCAGCATCGCGTTGTACCACAACTGCGGGGTCTTGGCTACCACGTTCATTTTCCCCCTACAAAAGACGCTTTGCATTTCAGAGCCTAAAGGCAAGTGGCGGAGACGAGGCGACGACTGCAAGCAGATGAACGAGCTGCACTACACCAGCGCCACAGTGTGAGTGAACGCACCGCGCCGAGCAGCGGCACGGTCGTGCCGGCTGCTTGACATTCCGGCCCGACGGCTCATCTCGCCGGCCCGACCACACGGCCGTGATTCACCGTCGGCCCTCGCCGCGGGCTCTCGCAGGTCTGTGTCATCCGGTCAGGCCACACGCAGCCCGTGCTCTCTCTCGCTTCGGGTTCGGAACAGCGGGCGATCTCCGCCGCAGCGGCCCGCTCTCGACGCCGGTCTTGCACGTCGGTGGAGCCGGCAGTCCACCCCGGCAGCGGGGGGCGCTGACAGGTCACGGCGTGCGGGGGTCCCAAATTAGCCCGCGTCAGTCTTCATCTCCCCAATTTGTCCGCTCGATGGAAACCGTAACCGAGGGCTGACAGCGAGCCAACAGCGGACAGCGAACTGCGAAGCTGCGGCGAGCGGTGCGACGCGTGGTGGACGAACGCCGGGCCGCGCGTGGCGGGTGGATTGGGTGGACAGGGGCAGAGCGGCGTGGGGCGGTGAGGTGGACAGGGACAGAGCGGCCTGTGGCGGTGAGGTGGACGGGGACAGAGCGGCCTGTGGCGGTGAGGTGGACAGGGACAGAGCGGCCTGTGGCGGTGAGGTGGACGGGGACAGAGCGGCGTGGGGTGGTGAGGTGGACAGGGACAGAGCGGTGTGGGGCGGGTGGGGTGGACAGGGACAGAGCGGCCTGTGGCGGTGAGGTGGACGGGGACAGAGCGGCGTGGGGCGGTGAGGTGGACAGGGACAGAGCGGTGTGGGGCGGTGAGGTGGACAGGGACAGAGCGGTGTGGGGCGGGTGAGGTGGACAGGGACAGAGCGGTGTGGGGCGGTGAGGTGGACAGGGACAGAGCGGTGTGGGGCGGTGGGGTGGACAGGGACAGAGCGGCCTGTGGCGGTGAGGTGGACAGGGACAGAGCGGCGTGGGGCGGTGAGGTGGACGGGAACAGAGCGGCCTGTGGCGGTGAGGTGGACAGGGACAGAGCGGTGTGGGGCGGTGGGGTGGACAGGGACAGAGCGGCCTGTGGCGGTGAGGTGGACGGGGACAGAGCGGCGTGGGGCGGAGAGGTGGACAGGGACAGAGCGGCCTGTGGTGGTGAGGTGGACGAGAACAGAGCTGCGTGTGGTGGTGAGTTGGAAAGGAACAGAGATGCGTGTGGTGATGAGGTGGACAGGGGCAGAGTCGCGTGTGGAGGCGAGATAGAATGACACTGAACTGCGTATAGTTAGTTAAGGCATGTCTAACGTGCCGTACGTAATCTAGAACATCTGCTGATGTTACCATCGCTGTAGTGAAATAACTTGGTTGGAATGCTGACGATCGACGAATGCCACATGTTGATATCTGTATTTATTGGTGTCATATGCCAGCCACCAGCGGGTCCTTGATATAAGAAGAAAGGCTTTGGGCACCTGGGTCTTCGGCATTATGAGTTCCGGATGCTCATGTTGACAACGATGGACGTTGAATGTGCTAGGAGGTGTCGCTTTAAACGACACTGCTAAGCAAACGTTGGGTTTATTGGCAATACTCGATGTTACAAAACTGCGCTGATGGTCACGAGTGACGAGCTGGTTATAGTTACTAGGAACGGTTTCGAATCGTCAAGTATTGGCAACACAACCAGAGCGAACCTTGTAATGCTGCTTGAAGGGAATGATCAATATTTGAGGATATTGAGCAAGCACCAGGTAGGATGGAATTAGCCCACTTTTGAACTTTTGGTGTACTTTAAATGGAAGACTGCTGTATATAGCGCAATTTCTCTATTTGGTAAATATGCTCCTCATTTCTTCATTGCTTGGTTGCGTGACCCTACCTTGCGCAACGTTGATTGGGAGCCAGTTGATTGTCATTATACCTGGAAATCGTGCTCACGACCGCCAGATATGAACGACTCGACAGTGATAGTTTGCTTGGCCTTGATCGTCGCGCAGCCAACGGAATGGCAGGATTTCAGTGACGTTATTACGGCGTCCTGGATGCCTGGGTGACCTTGAAATAGCCTGTACGAAAAAGTCTGCAAATCTTCGTGGGCGTGTAGCTTAAAAATTGGACGGGCTAAGGAAGGGCAGGGCTGTGAACTTCACCGAATGATCTTCAAGATTGCTATTTCAGCTCAAAACCCTGCACAAATGTGGAACACTTCCTTTTTCCTGTGCTTCCTTGTATATTTAAAGTCCATATCTGTCGACGTAAAAACTCCAGATTCACAGCACCTGCAGCGCGTTAACTTTCTAAAGAATCACGTTCGACGAGAGTTGACAGGTCACTTACAGTTCCCTCGAATTGGTGTCTCAAAATTAGATAGTGTAGTTAAATTTCTTACAGTTCATTGCATTGAAACGTGTTGCGTTTGCGCTCAATGTGAGAGTCTTGCCAATTGTGTTAGTTCATACAAAATTCCACTGAATCAAATATTCAATAGGAATCGATCAGAAATCTTGATCAGACGTGATCAGAACCGATAATCTTACATGGAAGGCTTAGCCAGACAACATACAGCAGCATGTTTCCGTGCTTTAAGAATATTGGAACATCTCGTGCTGTTCCGCATATCCACGTTTCCCTCGGATATCATTTAACAACATATTTGCATCGTCTTTCCGGAAGGTTTTCTAAAATGCCAATGGCATCTGCAACACCAGCATTTGAAAGGCAGCCAGCAATGTTTTCGTTAGCGCGATGCCAGCAAGCGTATTGCTTGTCGAGAATATGTGTTATCTGCTTCGTTCATCAGTGTGCACGCATCCATGGAATGGCATTACGATCTTCGGTATAAATTTAATATCGGTGTTTGCGATGCTATCTGTATTACAATACTCTTAAATGTATGATGCGTGCATGCAGCATATCTGACATAAAGGGTTGGATGGAGCGACTTTGACCACTTGGAGGAGTTATGTTTAAAGTTCAATAGCGGGTTGCCGCGCGAGAAGGGAGGCTGTCACTGCGTGTTACTCATAACTGCCAGCTGTACCATATGAGTTTCAAAAAGAGGGCCGTGACCTTAAGTATGCCTTTGTTCGTCCTTGCTGTGACCTTATGGTGTCCTTCAGTTTACTAAATCCTTAAATTGTATGGAAACAATTATTAGCAACTGTCACTAGAATGCTTCGTCCATCGTCACCTAAGCCAATTAAGGAAGTGACGGGGGGCACCAGACAGCAAGGTTGGAAACATTGGACGCCATGTGCTTGTTCTGGGAAAATCTCAGTTTAGAATCGTTCTGACAAAATCTCGGTTTAGAACCGTTCTGTGAAAATCTCAGTTAGAATCGTTCTGACAAAATCTCGGTTTAGAACCGTTCTGTGAAAATCTCGGTTTAGAGCCGCTCTGCCAGTGGAGCACAAAGGACGGCTTTTATAACTGACTTCGGCTGAATTGTGGGCGCTGATATCGGGCTGGTAGGCAAGTCTGGGAATAACCCTTTATGGTGTAACTGCTGTCGTGGACGGCGATAGCTATGGAAATGACGAGCTTCGATGAATGCTGACATAATGCACATAACGGTAGGCCGACGGTAGTTAGATTTGCATGATTCACTATGTAACTGTATAATGTGTGGTGGTGAAAATCGATTGGCGTAACCTGTGGGCCGACACGTAATTTTGCAGCCTGCGGAATGAATACCACGCTGAATCACGTTCGTTGGTAAAACTTCTAAAAGCTCGTCACTTGTTTGGAGCGGACCTGGTGCCTTGTATTGTGGACGTGCTCTTGGGGACGCCGGATGCCCTCGATCTGTCGTAGGAGAGGTTGGCAGCTGGCCACACAGGCTTGGAATATGTTTATATATATATATATATATATATATATATATATATATATATATATATAGGTGTTACCGTTGTTAGTGAGTCTGATCAACGCGTAATGCTTACAAAGAAGCGCGGTTAACGTCGTCACTGAGCCCGAGATTGATGGCGGACGTCGTAGATTGCCTTGGAAATTGGCATGCCGAAGTCCCTTTCGGATCCCATGAAAGGAGACTGATCTTGAAATTGACAATAGCGCTTGGTATTCCGGGACAAGTCAGACATAAAGACGGATTGCATGGACGTTGAGCAGTGTCAGTCTGTTACGAAATGCGGTCGAGTATAAAGTTATCTGCGTAACCTGCACTTCTTTCACAGCCACCATTCAATTTTGATTATGTTTTTGTCAAGGAGATGGACGAACCGCTGGCTGGAGCTGGGTGGAACGACGGACACAATATGTCTAGCCTCACTATTTCAGGTCTTTGGAAGCACCAAGGTAGCGCTTTGTCCTCAGGCAAACCTGCTAAAAACCTGTGTACCAGGTAGCCGGATTCCATGCTGGGATCACGCATTTTCGGAATAAAACACTCCTCCTAGAATTTTGACGGCTGCATTCCAAAGCGTCGGAGCTAGTTTAAGGTGGGCTGCCTAAATATCTAGAGGCGACTGGAATAATTATTTTTGAAAGGGCGAAGACAGGGGGTTCTTTAGTGTTTAAAGCAAATGTGACGTCCTCTGTTCCTTGAATATGCCCGACCCGTGTTGACTGAAGTGAGTTCCAGCCTGGTGGACTCATCAAGGTGAGCATATTTAGGTGATGTGTGATGCGTGTGAGCTGCTACGGTCGTGTCAGCGTCAGCTGGGGGAGTTCGTGTGTCCAGCTGCCCATGTGAGCGAGGCTAAGCGACCTACGCGGGCGTGTAATTTTACTTAAGGAGGTAATCAAAATGTGTCGGTAACTAACGTACAGAAAGAACAGAACTCACGTCCAGAGGAGCCCCCAGGCAATAACATTGGCGGAATGGGAGCTGCAACGGGAATACATTTTGTGATAAACCATTGAGCAGCATGTTCATGTTTTTCCTCTTCCCTGGGGTCCTGAACCATGCGAGTGGCCAATGACATTCCAGAGGCGTATAAAGGCAAACATTGAGATAGTGTTTAGAAGCATGAATGCGAGCCTGATATCTGAATGGCAAGGTTTTGCCGTTCTAGTGCCTGCTACAACGACAGTCGGTGATT